GTTTTACTCCAGTGTGCCGCGTGATTGGTCAAGGAAACATGAGAAAACATCCACCAATCAGATGCAAAATGAAAACCAATCGCAATCTGATCATTCGTGTTTTCCCGCGCTTCAGCCACCTCATGTGTAGCTATATTTCACCTATCTTGTATTTGTATTTCATCAGAGAGATTTAACACCGCATTTACGTGAAACGTTAACGGAGAGTGACCTCGTGACGTTGCTTTTCCCGCCCATCTTTCACGTTTGCCGGTTCCGCTTTGCCGTTTCTACGTGAAAGTAACCTGTTTCGCGTTTGCCGTGTACGTTAGATTTTCTTCACTTTTTCTCTCACAGAGTTGAAGTTAATTGCTGGAAAAAAAGCACCAAAGCTGTTCCTTGTAAGTCATGCAAGGGCGCCTTCAAATGCACCATGACCTGAGCTCACGCGAAGTTAAAGCAGCAAGGCTTACTCTATTTTAAGGTGGCTCGTACCGGTTTTCATCTTTTTGATGGTTTGTAACTTTGAAAGAATACAACAGAAAGACTGACCAAGGCCAGTTGAACACTTTTACGGGGTTAAATTATATAATAATTGGTTATCCAAAAATAGGTGTCATTTCGTCTCTAGCAGTTTCCATGGCAGCGCTTTCATAGGCGTATTCAGACGCCTAGATTCCCCATGGGAAAAAAAAAATTTTTCTTATGCAAAATATTTTCATTGTTCCTGCCATCCAACATGGCTGCTGTGCAAAACCTTTATAGGGGCACCAAAGCTATTCCTTGTAAGTCATACAGAGGCGCCTTCAAATCCACCATGACGTGAGCTCACGCGAAGCTAAAACAGCAAGGTTCACGCTATTTTACGTGAAACGTGAAATAGCAAGCTGATGTTTGCCGTTTGACGTGAACGCGGTGCTAAACCTCTATAATATCAGTGCTAGACCCTTCACCGACCTCTTGCTGACTTGCTCCAGGCCTCGCTCTTTTTCCGAGAGCGTAGAAACGCTGGTACCGAAACGCTTATAATGGGGGCTTGATCGCAAGTTAGCATTGTGTCAGTGTGGAAGCCATCATACTCCTCATTGCAAAGTGTTATACATGTACTTCTTTATTGACATACAACACCGCCGACGCTCTACGTTCATTCTTTTACTTTTAACCAAATTAGATGTGCAAGCTACACCTTCTTCTACTGCGACCACGACTGCAACAACGTCTAAAGCAGTAACGTCTGATGAAGGAATACCAACAACTACGCCTGAAGAAACAACGACAACTTCTCCGATAGAGGAAATATTCACAAAGATATTTCCAACAGATGAAGACGACATATCATCTACACCAGATGAGGAAGGTACAACAACTGCTGTAACAGATGGAGAAAATGCTATGTCGACTCTTTACCTTGTTTCAACACTTGCAACAGAACAGAAAAGGACATCTGCTGCATATCAAGAAGGTACCACTGCTGCCCTAGAGATGACAACTTCGTTGCCAACTGTAGAAGGGACAACGGCTTAGCCGGAAGATACTACGACAACGTCAGTTGTGGAAGGAGACGGAAAAATTTCTCTGCCAGATCGTCAGATAACAACCACTGCTCCAGACCTACAAGAAACAACCTTAAGTCCGTTTCAGGGACTGTCAACTTCTAACATCGAAGGAGAAAGTACCACTAAGAAAGCAGTGGTACCTCAAGGGCAGGAATCTTCAACTTCTTCTCCCAAAGGAACTACACCTGTGCCAGAAGAAGAACGGAAGACCACAGCATCAGCTCCTGAAAAGAAAATGACTAGTTCTAGGGAAGGGGAAACAACCTCAGCGAAAGAAACAGTAACATCATCTGTTCCAACGAAGGTAAACAATGTGTGAGTTTATGTATTAATCATTCCTTAGAGGCAACACTGAAGGTATTTGCTCCGTTGCTCCTAATTTAAACACATTTGTAGGAAAAAACACACTCATTTTGGAAGTAAGTAACTCCTTCCGATAGTGTGGTTGTGGGTATAGGTGCGATAGTATTCAAGATCCCTTGTTGTTGTTATAATTAGTAGTAAGGAGCTGTAGCAGTCAGGACGACAACGGCGAAGAAAGTGGCGATTAAAAAAATTAATTGAAATTGATAGTAAGAATTTTAAGAATGGCTGGATGTGTTTACTGTCTCTTACGGCGCCACACCTCAACCTCAACATCAAGTATGTGAGCAATGTTGAGTTCCAAATTCAAACTTAAATAATTGGCCGTCGAGGTTTTTTTTCTCTGACAACGTAAATTTTGCTTGATTTCACGTTGTTGTTGAGCAGAGGACGGTGAAGGAAATTACAAAGTTTCAAAACGCGTGTTCTGAGCTATTACTCTGCCAATGAGATCTCTTGTTTTGCTACGTCCTCGTTGCCGTTGCTGTCGTGGTTTGCTCAGGAAGTTCCTCAAGGACAGACGTCTCGACAAACTTAGCGGAAATCATTATCTGAGTCAAATGACTACTTTATCGATGATTCTTCTCGATGACACTTTTTGATCTCTTGACCATAATTATCATAATTTCCTCTGAGTTGTCAAATTTCAGTCATTGCCAACGACTTTATTTTTTACGAGGACAACTGCCCCTTGTGTGGGTGATCACTTTTTCGATAACTTTTTCAATCTGTGAAAATATACTCGATAACCTCACTTTAAGACTGTATCACCACCAATATTCCCCATATGTTACGTCTTAGTACTTCAAAAAATGAGGCTGAGTAAAATTCACGACAAGTTCATCGCGATACGGATAAAGAATTGCCTCACTCTCTTCGTAACGGTTTTTTTTTCTTCCCTTAACTTCATTAGAGTCATTCGTTGACGACACCGCTGACTCTTCCTGGGGTCCCAATTAAAGTATCCTCCAAATCCATCTCGGAAACGGAGCTCGAGGTGTCCTGGATCCCACCACAGGAAGGAAGCGCGAACATCTTGTTCTACAGGGTCAAATTCATCGACGTCAGTGGAGGTAAATTAAGTTTGCATATCCAAAGGGAGGTTTCGTGCAGTTGCAAGTTTGATGGGTATTTATTCTACTGTGCTACACTCATTTCAAAAAGAAGTAGGTATAGTTACTTTTGCTAATGTTAAAATTTGGATGATTGCTTCTGTGGACCATGCAGTGGTTTGTTCTCTATAACAGAACAGTCGAATGAGCCGGAATAAATCGTCAAATAAAGTGATTTACTGTCGAGCTCAAAGCATTAGAAAACCAAGATGGCCGCTTGAGGTTAAAAAAAAAAAAATAATAAGTACACTGACGTCTACCGTCGCCAGCTACAAATCCGCAAAAGAGCGGGAAAACGAGTGATGTGTCAACAATATATATATACATTCCTAAAATCCTTCTTTAACATGCTTGATATAGGTATTTTCTCTGGCTAAGAGAAATAAAGGAAAAATGTAGAAAAGCTCCCAGAAATCTTCATTAAAGGATTCAACTCGGAATGGTAGACCCTGGCACTTTTCACAGCGAATGAGACAACAAGCCTGAAGAGGTGTCTGTTCTTCCCGATATCCTAGGCAAAAATGTTTCTTCATAACTGTGTGTTGTCATTCACATTATGTTCGAACACATTGTCTGCAAGATACCGATAGTGGCGAAGGCACTTCGCCTACACCGTGGTGCTTATTAGCTGCTTAAGATAAAATCTAAGAGTTGGCAGATTCTGTATAATCATTCACAGTTTGTTTCTGTTATCGATCTTCTCCTCTCTCTCAGGTGGGCTTACGAGAATATTCCAAGTTCCGGGAGACGTTCAGTCCGTAAAGGTCGGCTCCCTTGACGGGGAAACCGAGTATCAGTTTACAGTGTCAGCTGGCAATCAACATGGAATTGGACCATTTTCGGAGGAAAGGTCTGGGCGAACAAAGGCCAAAATAGCAAGAATAGAACCCACTGAGGATGCTGAAGTGCAAAGTACGAGCCAAGAGGGTAAACAGCTACACATGTAAACTTATATACGCTTTTTTTTACTTATGTTCAGTTTGAAACTGTCTTAAAACCCTAAGTTCGTTATTGCGAGGCGAGATAGGAAAACTGGGTCGAGTACACGAAAATGAAGATTTCCTGAAGACCTTCCCTGGTAAACTTCACTCCATGTTATCGTGAGCTTCTTATAAGAAAACAAAATAGGTCAAACGAATCAAGTCGAACATCAAAAGATAAAAACCTTTTTTATATCTTATCTTGTGCGTGAATTTTCATAATAGAGCGCTGATAGCTTGATGCATTTGCCGGACGCAATTTCTTTTGACTGTTTTTGTCGTGGAAATCGCAATTAGAACAAACCAGGAGCCAAAGAACTATGTAATTTATGTTTGTGGTTGGTCATATCTACAACCAACTACTTCTATCTATAATAAGGTTGGGATATAACGCGCGCAGTCATTGGTTGAAAGGATTCTCTATTTGTTAGATACGGTTTCTCCGTGGGATTTCATTCCAAAACCCAGTTTAAAGCTTTTTTCACATTGATACATTATATTTTTCTTTCACTTTGCACTGCTCTTTGGAAAAGTTCTTCCAATTTTTTTCCGAAAAACTTCAAAGTTTCTCAGCTCCTTTTACGACCATTTCTTCTTTCTTTCAAAAGAGCCAGTTGTGAAACTCTCTCACCGCACGGACTTTGTTGTTGCTGGAATGGACAAGACTACCAGAGCCATTTGTTTCGTAAGTGGACAGGAATTTATTGGCTGGTTTAAATCAACTGGGGAACAAGTCCTTGGCACAAGTCCTAGCCACAGGATGTACGTCGAGGATGAAGATGACGGCTACTCGCTTGTGATCCGCAGACTTATGCGATCGGATGGCGGAGAATATGTTTGCCGTGGAACGAAAACGAGTGCAACTTATTCTCTTTACGTGGAATGTAAGTATTTGAGAAATTTAGCGCTGCGTTTGCGTGAAACGTGAACGGCAAGAGTGATCACGTGGCCTAGTTTTCCCGCCATTTTTAAACGTTTGCCGGTTGCACTTTGCCGTTTCTTCGTTTAGATTTTATTCACCTTTTCTCTCACAGAGCAGAAGTTAATTGCCGGAAAAAGGGCACCAAAACTATTCCTTGTAAGTCATACAGAGGCGCCTTCAAATACACCATGACCTGAGCTCACGCGAAGTTAAAGCAGCAAGGCTTACTCTATTTTAAGGTGGCTCGTACCGGTTTTCATCTTTTTGATGGTTTGTAACTTTGAAAGAATACAACAGAAAGACTGACCAAGGCCAGTTGAACACTTTTACGGGGTTAAATTATATAATAATTGGTTATCCAAAAATAGGTGTCATTTCGTCTCTAGCAGTTTCCATGGCAGCGCTTTCGTAGGCGTATTCAGATGCCTAGATTCCCCATGGGAAAAAAAAAATCTTTCTTATCCAAAATATTTTCATTGTTCCTGCCATCCAACATGGCTGCTGTGCAAAACCTCTATAGGGAAGCAAATTCTTGATAAGAGGATTATTGACAAGCATATCGCAATTATCTTCAAAATTATTAAGTAAACGTTTGATTTATGAAAAAATAAACCTTGATAGATATTTGAATTCTTCCAAAAAAAAAAAGGAACGTGCACGCAGTGAGTGGAAAAAAAGCATTCCGGAAATGTCTTCCCTGAGTTTTTGCGGAAATTTGCTATTAACACGTCGGCCCATCGGCCAGCGGGGCGGACAGGACCACGGACGGAGAGACCCAGCCTCGAACCCAGGCCGGTCCAACGCGCCATTTTAGTGGGATAATTTACTCTGAAAGTACCTCTTTCTACCCAGGAATAGAAACGGATATTGGCAAACTGTCAGGGGGAAAGTGATGGAATAATGTGGGGTTATCTGTGCAGGATTACAATCCCATTGTGGAGAGGATGAAGTGTTTTTCCATCCCTGAACTTTTGGCAGAAATTTGAATGCCGAACTCAGGAAAAGCAATCTTTGTAAAAGCCTATACTTATGCCTAAAGATCACTCTTATTTTGCGTCAACAGTTTCTGTGGAAGATCCTCCAGCCACGCAAAACCTGTGGTTGAACCAAGATGGCGAGATATTTGTCGGCGTCAAGATTGGGTATCCAGCTCCGGAGTATCTGTGGAAAAAAGATGGAGTCAAACTTGATGCAAACTCAGGTCGATTCCGTCTTCTGCCCGATGGAACCATCAAAATTAGTAAAGTGTCCGCCGAAGATGCTGGAGATTATAAAGTGAGAATATCTCAACTGAACAGACGAAGGGAAACCACTGAAACAATTAAAGTCAAGATTTTTGGTGAGAGATATTCGTTACATTTAACAGTGAAATTTTAAGCGTGAGATTTTGTTCGTATGGGTTACTTGGGGATGAAGTCCGATTCCACTATTGTGCACAAAAATGTAGCCAACTGATCTTTGATGTAAATGTACTAGCCCATTCGATCCTTGCTAAGAAAACAGTCCTATGTTTCTAGTAATATTTGTAGTAGATGACCTTCAAGTTTGTTAAAACTCTTCTGGGTTCCCTTGCTTGGTTAGCTTATGCTGTAGACCCCGTATTGCCTTGCGGAAGGTCGAGGGTTGAAACCCCAGACTGGGGCAACACCACAGTAGGGTCCTAAAATAATTGAGGAGAATGTCCTACCTTTGCTATGACATCCTTAAATGGTTAGACATTCTAGACTTTTGGATAACGACGATAAACCGTGGGTAGGCCTTTTCTCCTGTATCTTCCTTGTAATGGATAGCAGGGGACGCAAAAAAACCAAGGCACTTTTTGTAAAGAGTAGGGGTTAGGGTTAGGGTTAGGGTTAGGGTTAGGGTTGTGGTCTGGCCTTCTTCTATGCAGACCCTCACTCAAACCAGCTTTATTGGTGAACTGGGGCAGCCTGTCTAAACATTGCAAACAAATCAATAAATCAATAAAATTAATTGAAATCCATAGACCCTCCGAAGATCGACAACACAAAGCCAGCGATACGTAATCTCACCTTTAGCTATCCAACGACATTAGAATGCGTAGTCTCCGGTATTCCCAAACCGGAAGTCACATGGATTGGCCCAAATGGCGAGACAGTCACAGGGTCAGAGCAACGCATCTCATTTCAAAGCGACGGTAGTTTAAAGATACTCCAAGTGAACCTGTTCGATTTTGGGAAGTGGACCTGTGAGGCGATAAACTCTGTGGGAAGAGCCAGTCGTCGGATTGAGGTTCAGGCGATATACAGTAAGTTTTCTAAGATATGGTCGAAAGGTTTAAAGTCATTTGTTGTAATTAACAATTATTCGCCTCAGGCTCGGTGAATATCGTCGAATAATCCCC